GAATATTCAGCACAGAGCACAAAAATAAAGAAAACTGTCATAACTTCCAGGATTAAGTTACCTTAATAACTTGAAAAGAACTCAGAAGAATGCTCACTTTTTACATTCTGGATGAAGCATAATTTTCAGTAATTACTTTTATCCATTATTATGGGCAGAGACAAGCTGAGTGAAACCCTGTTTCCAATGAGATCAGTGTTGAATCTCCTACTAACATAATTGGAGTCATAAGCACCTTACCTTCCAACAAGTAGCCATAGTTTTAGTTGGGTTAGTGCCTTCTGTGACATTCTGAAGGCTCATACTCCATGGGGCAGTTGTTTCAGCAGAGGCAGCCACTGGATCCAGGTGGCTTCAGCTCAGCCTACAAAAGGGAAGAGGGCAGGAGAGGGGATGCATTTTCTCTCCTCTCCTACAACAATCTCAGATAAACTAGCAATTCTCCAGGTGTGAAAAAGGACTGAAATTAGCCTGTGCCTTCCCTTGCCTTCAGACACCTTTCTTCCAAAGGTTTAAGAAGGTTATATGTTGGGAAGTGTCAGGAGGAATATCTCTCTCTCTCCCTTCATTAACCTGCTGCCTGCTCAGGCTCTCTCTTGAGCTCACACTCATGCTGGCTGTCACAGATGTTTTCGTCTTCACCTTCCTTCAGCACTAAGAGCATCATCCAGAATGAGGATGGGAAAGGGACAGAAGATTGCAAGAGAAGAGACAGAGGAGCTTGTTCTCTTTTTGTCATGTGGGGGCAAAGGTAGAAACGAGCAGATAAAGCCCACAGCACACGCAGCTGACTGCAGCAGTGTATGCCTGGAGTATCTCTGGAAGTCAGATGTGCTCCTGCACAAGAGAAGATCAGTCCCAGAGGACTTAAAGTCTGCATAGGACCCAGTGCTTCAGACCAGTCCTATATTCACAAATAACTTGTCCACAACTACAGAGGAAACTTCTACAGCAAAACCCTCCTGGTTCTTATCTCAGTGCTATAAATTCACAAACAACTTCCTTTTCACAGTTACACCAGTGAAATATATTTTTTAACTCTTAGTATTATTCTGAAGCACTAGTGTAAAACGGTAGAGTACATTTAATATCTGTATTTAAGAATAAAATCTAGGTTTGACATAATGGCAGCGCAATGGAATAGAACCCACTCTGAATTACAAGGAAGAGTAATTCAGCATCATGCAGGCTCTGACTTTTCTCCAAAGATTCAGTGAAGAAAACATTCCTCACCACAGTTACTGTAACAGACAGGGCAGCGAATCTGTGCTTTTTCATCAATATGCCTGACGGTGCTTTATCAGAGCCTGAACCCAGCAGATTGTGCTCTAATTAACCAAACTCATTTTTTCACAGCACAGACATACTGAATGAAGTCTTTGTGTTCACGGTCCATCTCTGTGATTCTGTGATAATGAGATAATATAGCAGTGGGAATCTTCAGGGATACCTGATGAAATAGTCTTCACCAATACATAGAAAACTCACAGCATAAACTCTCAGCCTTAAAATCTGATTAGGTGTTTTGCTTCAGGCTGGGGTCTTAGACAAAATACTGCCATAAAACATGCTCCTCTATTTTGTTTTCAGCCTCTACCGCCTACTTGCATTTATCCCAGGACTACTGCAAAGTCCAACCAAAATTCTCAGTGAACATCCATATATTAATTTTTTTCTTCTAAGCTCCGCTTCTCCAAACTGAGAAGCTCTTCTCTTCATAGTGAGAAGCCATCAGACCCACAGGGGTGCATATTTGATGAGCAACACGTGAATGACAGAGAAGAGAAACTAGCATTAAGCCAAGCAAAATGTAGGTTTGGGACTGGAAGGGAAATAGAAATGTTCAGAGCTCTGCATTAATCTCAGGAGGCCATTCCTATTCAGAAACAGATGTAAGATATAACTCTGAACCTATGTTCTCTGTTTTTAATAGAGGCTAGAGTCAGCATTTCCAACAAAATTCTCTCTCACAGTTAAGAATATAAAATATATATCCACGCTTTCCTGCAATTGCAAGACTTTTTTGTTGTTGTTTTGTTGTTGTTTTGTTGTTTTTTTAAAAATTAGTATTTCAGAATCACTTTTGCATTTTAAATCCAACTTTGCCTTTAGGACAATTATTTTGCTATATTTCATGTAGCCCTGTTGTGCTTGCTTCAAATATACCAATCATCTTTAACACTGCACAGTTATTTGGTAGCATTATGAATGCATGAAAATACATTCACAATCCAATCGTCTATGCGTTCCATTTGCAATCATCTTTCTGCCTTCTGCTCATAAAGAAGATGGACAATTTCCAGTCATAGGCACTCTTGTGATCTCCATCATATGCCACAACTTGGGCATTGCTAGTGCTCTGTTTCCTCCCGGACCAAGCTTCCCATCATCCAAAATACCTGGAGTGTCTTTACATCAGTGGTAAATTTGAGGGTGCAAATGCCAAACTGTCTTCCATAATGCATACAACTAACCCGTGGGCTGATTAACGGCAAAAGATGGTTTAATAGCTGGAGAGAAATGCAATTTTCAAATTTTGGACCATCTTTTGATAGTTATTAGAAGAATAGTACTAAAATATTGAGCAATAGTGAAATAAAGTCCAATTTTAACTCTGTTTGCAAAATTTAAACCCATGCAATTATAATTCCAAGGAACTAAAATCTTTGAAGGACATTAGAAAAGTATTTACTCCTTTAGAGAAAATTTTCCAAATAAAATGGCTCATAGCTTCAGGATGCTTCCTGAACACACTGAGCACCTTACCACCAGCAGCAGTGCCAAATCCCTGCAGCACCCCTGAGCAACAGGCTTTGTCTTATTCCTCTCAGATATTCTTTGGGGTGAGACTCACAGGAATAGCTGCCACCATACCAAATTCATGCTTAAGTAATTAGCTCAAGATCATAAAGCAAATCATCTGCAGAATGTAGAGTAGACATAGATAATTGTGTGGTGCAGCTGACACAGTGGAGGGCAGGGATGTGCCATCCAGAAGGACCTTGACAGGGTGGAGAGGTGGGTCCATGCAAACCTCATGAAGTTCAACAAGGCCAAGTGCAAGGTCCTGCACATGGGTTGGGGCAATCCCAAGCACAAATACAGGCTGGGCGATGAGAGGGTTGAGAGCAGCCCTGCGGCAAAGGACTTGGGGGCATTAGTAGGTGGAAAACTGACTACGAGCAAGCAATGTGTGCTAACAGCCCAGAAAGCCAACCGGGTCCTGGGCTGCATCAAGAGAAGTGTGGCCAGCAGGTCAAGGGAGGTGATCCTCCCCCTCTACTCTGCTCTCATGAGACCCCACCTGCAGTGCTGTATCCAGCTCCGGGGTCCCCAACAAAAGAAGGATGTGGAGCTGCTCAAGCAGGTCCAGAGGAGGCCATGAAGATGATCAGGAGGTTGGAGCACCTCCCCTGTGAGGACAGGCTGAGAGAGTTGGGGGTGTTCAGCTGGAGAAGGCTCCAGGGAGACCTTAGAGCAGCCTTTCAGTACTTAAAGGGGGCTATAGGAAAGATGGGGAGAGACTCTGTATCAGAAAGTATAGGGATAGGACAAGGGGTAACGGTTTTAAACTGAAAGAGGTAGACTTAGATTAGATATAAGGAAGAAATTAATTACTGCAAGGATGGTGAGACACTGGCACCCAGAGAAACTGTGGCTGCCCCCTCCCTGGCAGTGTTCAAGGCCAGGTTGGACAGGGCTTTGAGCAACCTGGGCTAGTGGAAGGTGTCCCTGCCCATGGCAGGGGGTTGAACTAGATGGTCTTGAATGTCCCTTCCAACCCAAACCATTCTATGATGCTCTGGCCTCAAGTATTGTTTTTAAACTGACCATAAAGAAGACAATACAGAATTATACAGATCATAATTGTTACATGGAGTTGGTTACAAGTGACACCTGAGTTACTCAAATAATGACTTTTTTTATTTTACTGATTAGAAATAGGCTTTTATACTTGGATCCTGATTTATTTTTAGTTAAATACCACTTAACTTCATGTTAAATCATTGAGTTCTCAACAGATTTTAGAAGTCAGCTCTACACTCTCTACAAAGGACTGTTTACGCTCTTAAATACCATTTTACATGACTGTTGGACAGAGAACTGTGGAAGTGAGTTTAATCACGCGTAACTCGCTTCTTAAGAGTCACCAAACTAGCTTGAACAAATGGTACCCGATGTTTGGCAGAAAAGTATTTCCACCAGTTTCCCCAACACAGAGTCCAATCACATCTGGAACACCAGCAAAAAAACGTTTCCCCTCTCAGGCATGAGTAAACAAGCAGTCAGTTTAAGCTCTACTTCCAAAAGTTAAATGTGATGGTGATACAACATCAACCAGCTGAGGAGGAGAAAAGTGAGGACTGTGGTGCTTACCCCATTCTGGCTAGGCAGGTAGTTTCAGAAATGCTGAAATTTCTCAGTACTATACACCAACCAGGAGAGAAGATGAGTAGAGAGAGGTAAACGATCTCCTGTGTTGCAATCAGTGTTAACAAAAGCTCAGGGAAAATTGCTTTTGGCCCTTTGTCTTTTGTTGCTCAGTTAAAGACAACTATGAACAAACATGAAAAAAGCTGCAGCTGAAAAGGTAGCTGTAGCACTACATGCTGAATATCAAAATAAACACAATATCAATTTCATTTTGAAATTTAAGGGGAGGGAAAAATCCAACCCATTCAAATTCTCTGTGGGTTAAGAGAAAGTTTGGGTTTTGGGTTTGTTTGAAATTATATTTTTCCAGCACACATCCAACCTCAATAAAGGCTCCTTTTCATATGGAAAATAACTCAGCACAGCCTCTCCTATGAAAATATTTTTCTCTTGGCACAACCAGGTTTCATTCCTAACCTCAGACGGTCTGACTACCTTGTGAACAATCAGCCACTTCTACTGATTAAACAAACATGAAAAGAAATTCATTCTCTTTAAAAAGCAGTTTTCTACAGCTTTTGAAACAGAGAAAACGAAATTAAAAAATAGGGTCATTTTGTGCTACTTCCTTTCTTTAGTTTTATTGAGTGTCAGTCTAAATAATTAATACAAATACAAAGTTACTTCATTTGATGAATATTAAGAGACTTTACAGTATAAAATTCCCTGAGATAAAATATGTAACTTAAAGGATCACATAATTCTCTATTCCGCTTACACCATAATCAAAAAGTAATATTATTTCTTATTCTTATAAAAATCAGAAGATAACGATCTTCCTTCCTCTCCCTCCACCCCAATATTTTAAGGCACGGAATAAAACACTTCTGCAAAATATATTCAAAAAGACTGTTCTACTTAAAATAGAAAATAACTTTGCTTAATTTTTACAGATGGATTATATAAAACACTTGTAATATCTTTTGGAGTCTAGTACCTGATCTGCAATCCAATTTGCCCAGGCAAATGTTTTATTCATCTTTAAACTTGAGCCCTACAAAGTGAATTACAAAAGCCAGTCCTTAACTTACATTGGTACACTAAATATTAGCCGGTAGAGTGGATGATCCGAAAACCAAAGCAGATTTATAGAGATGCTGTATTACTGACTTCAGCAGCTGTAGACCAGGGCTGAATTTTCCCCCAAATCTAAAGGGAAAAGCGTGCAACACTCACTCAAGAACAACAAAACTAGAAAAGGCATCTTTTCTCTCAGCACAAGTGCTCTGCAATAATTATTGCAAGACTACAGTTTTCATTATACAATTCTTGACAATACTCAATGCATAACTTACAAATACAGCACAAATGTGATCACCTTATTCAAACACGATGCTTTAATTATTGCATAGCTCTTTTCTAAAGTTTATAAAACTCTAGTTCATCACAGATTTTAACTTCTTTTCTTAGAGAGGCTGAGAAAAAAGTATGGGTTGCAATCTCTGGAAATTCCCCTGCTTCTGTAGTCTGATCTTCTGCCTGTGGCATTCCTGATTACACAGAAGAACTCTGTGCCTGGAAAATTTCAGAAAATGAAAAAAAAAAATTAGGAGGACTGAAAAAAATGCACTTGTTTCAGCAGGCCAATAAAAAGTAATGCAATCTTAAATATTAGTTCACCATTTTTCAGACTGGGTTTTTGTATCTATTTACATGAACTGCGATAAAAACTGAACAGAAAAAAAGGTTCAAAGTGAGACAGATTCTATCATCCTGACTTAGCTATGACTGTTAATGCTATACTTAGATTTTTAAAATCATCAAGATCAATTTTATGGGAGTAGCAACTACTGGTAGACAAACAGATGAGCATGCCGTGAAGAACATGCTTTTGCTTCAAACAATCAATTAAGACCTGTTCAAGTGAAAACATGGCATTAGGGACCATCACTACTACATTCCACGCTGTGTTGACTGTATTCTGTCCTTTCCCAATAAAATTTCCACAGCATCTCTGGCATTAACAACAGAAAGGTTCATGAAGCCATCCTTCCTTGCACAAAAGCAGAAGGGAGTAAACATCGGACCCAGCAAGATCTGATCCGGTAAAACTGTGCCAATTATTACTGAACTTCATTGTTATTAGACCTTTTTTCAATAATCCTTGGTTCCTGCTTACTTAATCATGGGGAAAATCTAATTTAAAATAAATTACTGTAGGCTGTCAGCTCATAAATATTAAAAGCACCTACCCAACATCTCTTACTGCTAAAGTCATATCTAATCCTTTTCTCACCTAAGCATGACTCACAAATGACAGTAAACTCACCCGCTCTGATGCCCATCTTTTATTTACAACTTTCTTGTTTCCCTACCTGTTCTGTACCTGTGATTTCATTCTGAATGAAGTCTCTGGGTAACTCCTTAAAGAGGAACTGGACGAATCCCTTAATCATTTGTGCTGGACTCTTGTGGCTTATCATTTTTTGCCACCAAACATTATAGTTGCAAAGGGCAGGGAGGGCTCAAATTCCTGAAGATGTGTAACTACAACTGAAGTTTCTTTACGAATTTCACCAAGCAAGATTTCATGTAACCAAAATGTAACCACACACTCACTACTAGGAAGACTCCAGCAGAAGGGCAGAGTCTGAAAGGCAGTAACTACCATAAATGCTCCCAGTAGGCACTGAGACAAGGAAGTTTTATCTTAGGAACCTATTTATTGATTAAAAAAACGTGCTGGAAAAACTCCTCAAAACCAAAGAAAAATAAATATTTCCCTTTTCATATTCTTTCCTCACACAAGCTGTATTTTCCCAACAGGCTAGATCTTACTCTCTACAGTAATTTTCGTTTTGAAGGCAGTGATTTGGGACTTGAGTTTGGGGGAGGGGGGGGAGTGGTAATTGTTATTTTACAAACAACAAAGTGGCATTCTGAGTAGTGTCACCCAGTAGAATTTTTAAAAACGCATGCCATAAACCAAATCAATACAACAGGACTGTCTAATGATACTAGAGAAATAAGTTAGCCTTTCTGTATACATATTCAATACAATAATGAAAACCTTCTAGTTAATAGCCTTTCCCTGCTTTTTCCTATATGGCAGTAATTCTGCAGAGAAAAACATTCAGATTCCTGTAAACATTTTCTAATTCCTGAATAAAGGGAGGGTGGAAATGTTCCAACTTTTTTCTACACTGTCTTTTCCTGTACTTAAAAGTTCTTCGCCACTTTTATACAGGATAAACGTGCCTATGGTTTTGGTAGGCATTGGAAGAAATACTCTACAACATCTGAGCTGTATGTTCCACTGGGATCCAGTCCCCTCCACACATTGTTTCCTAAATGGAATTATTATTTGGCTCAAAGCATTATTAGTTGGCTGATGCAATTTCAAACATTGCTAAAAAGTGCTACTGTATCATTACATTCTTAAGTTCAACAATTGTGGCTCAGAATCTGTCTGCAAATAGCTTGCATGCACATAATAATCACTGTTAAAAATATTCACTTTTGTCTTTGGAGTACAGAAAGCCAGCGCTGATCATGTATCCCCCGTAAGCAGAAGAAAGTTTCACGGTCCAGGAAGCTGTCATAACCGACAAAATTGGTTTCAGCTGTGCGGCTGAAGAACTTGGCATCAGTATTTATGTCGAGCCATGCACAACGGTAAAGGCCGCAGATCTCTATGATGTATGGAAATTTAACTTTGCTCTTTAAGAATCATCTCGCCTGAGATGTTTCTTTGTACTTTCATAATTTTGCATTTCAGTAAAAAGCTTCCTTCAGCAGGGTTTTCACAGCTTGTTTCCCTGTACCTGTATGCTTCTCTCACCGACGACAGCCTTCCGCATGTTACCTCGGGTGATGATCTCTGCGAGACCCATCCTGCCCTACGCCTTGACGCGGTCCATCGCTGGCCCGGGCCGGCCGGGCAAGCCTCGCCCGCCAGGAGCATCAGCTTTCAAACCAGCTGGCCAGATTTCGAACAGTCTTGATTTGATTTCCGGCTGCCCTCACAGCCTCGCAAACCTTGCAGAAATGCTCGTCCCAGAACGCGGTGACGTGGACCTCGTACTTCTTCCTCCAGGCAAAATACCTCCTGTAAATGGGTTTGTTTTTATCGAGGAATTTCAGGTAGGTGGCCAGCAGCCGGGGACTAGAGAAATCGTCGACGTGGATGAAGGAGTCGGGGGGGATGAAGCGCTCGTAGTTGGCCCTGCGGGGACCGAGGACGACGGGCACGGCGCTGGCGGCGAAGGCGTTTCTCCAGAGTTTCTCCGTGATGTAGTCGGTGTGCTGGGAGTTCTCGAAGGCCAGGTAGAACTTGTAGGCCGAGACGGTCTCCACCACGCCGCCCTCGGCCAGCGCCAGCCCCCGCGCCCCGTACACGTCGATGGCCAGGTGCTCCTTCAGCTGGCGGTAGTAGCGCACCCGGGCGTGCTCCTCGTTCCAGTTGCTGATGACCCAGGCCACCAGCCGCGTCTTGCGGGGCAGGACGAAGGGCCGGGGCGCCGGCGGGGCGTACAGGTACCCGTAGGGCACGAAGACGTCCGAGTCCCGGCGGTAGGACATGGTCCAGTTGAAGAGGCCGGCCAGCCCCCGCAGGCCGGGCGAGTGCGAGGGCGACTCGAAGTTCATCCACACCCAGAGCT